TGGGGAAGAAAGCAACAGAAGATAGCCCAAGTATGTGGGCCTTTGCCACCCATGTGGGAGAACACCATGGAATCCTAAGACCTTGGCTGTGGCCTGGCCCAATCCCAGTCATTGCAGTTATTTAGGGAGTAACCAAGCAGATGGAAGATATCTGTCTCTTTCCCTCCCTCTCTCTCTCTGTAACTCTGCCTTTCAAATAAATAAATCTTTTTGAAAATAAAATATATGTATAGTGAATAATTGACCATATTTTCTTCTTTTCAGGGTATACCTAGCCATCTTCTCAACAAACTTGTGTCCTTATAAAATACTCTTGATTTTTTTACCCATTTAAAAAAATATATGTGTATTTCACCAACATGCTGTGAATATCTCCTGGGTTCCAGGCTGTGTGTTAGATGGTAGGAATCAAAAATAGAAAAATAAGATGGGGCCAGTGTTGTGGCATAGGTGGGTTAAGCCACTGCCTGCAATGCTGGCATCCCACGTGGGCACCAATTCGGTCCTAACTGTTCCACTTCCGATCCAGTTCCCTGCTAATGTGCCTGGGAAGATAGCAGAAGATGGCCTTAGTTCTTGGGCCCCTGTGCACACATGGGAGACCTGGATGGAATTCCAGGTTTCTGGCTTCAGCCTGGCCCAACCCCAAATGTTGTGGCCATTTGGGGAGTGAACCAGTAGATGGGGGATCTCTTTTTCCCTCTCTGTAACTCTGCCTTTCAAATGAGCAAAATAAAATTTAAAAAAAAAGAAAAATAAGATAAAGTAAGTTTGTTATTTCTTTCCAAGTACATACACACATTTATACACATCATGTTGATTTGTGTATATATCGTATACACACCATCTCTATATATTTTAAAGATTTATTTATTTATTTGAAAGGCAGAGTTACAGAGAAAGAGAGACTAGGCAGAGAGAGAAGGAGATCTTCCATCCACTGGTTCACTCCCCAAATGGCCACAGCAGCCAGAACTGGGCCAATCCAAAGCCAGAAGCTTTTTCTGGGACTCCCATGTGGGTACAGGGTCCCAAATACTTGGGCCATCTTCCTCTGCTTTCTCGGGTGCATTGGCAGGGAGCTGGATCAGAGGTGGAGCAGCCAGACCTGGAACTGGCACCCATATGGGATGCCAACACCACAGGTATTGGCTTTACCTGCTATACCACAGCGCCAGCCCCATATATATATTTATACATCATTGTATATCTGCATCCTCTCTCTCTCTCTTCCCCTACACACACATTGGCTTTTTTCCTTTCACTTAATATTTTTAAAATTTTCTAGCACTGTTTACACATAAATGTAAATACTAATGTTGTATAGTATTACATCATATAAATAATCACATTTTATTTACCCACTACCATACTAATTGGTGTTTTACTTGATTCCCATTCACACCGTTATAAATAACAGCACAGTGGCAATTACTCACCATGGGTCAGAGAATATGTGAGTATTCTCTGTGACAGCTGCTGTCAGGTATTCTTTTAGAATGACTGTATCCATTTGTTCTCCCACAAGAAGCTTATGAAAATCCCTTTCTCCTCCACCCAGCCATATTTGATGTTGTCAGAAGTTCATTTTTTTTTTGCCATCCTAAGGGTTGCAAATATTATCCCTTGTTTCATGTTGACACACTTTTTACATGAGTCTTGTTCTGCCATCATGATATATCGTAATGTAACAAGAGGCTGCTAAATTCAGATCCAACTTTGTGTAAAAGTAAAACACAACTGAAAGCTAGAGTTGTGTTATATCATTTTTGAGTGTTGTGTAGGATAAAAAGGTTCAACTGACTCATTCTTTCAATAAGCACTTATGAAGCATTTTGTACTGTGCACTAGGATTACGAGGATAAGCAGATTATAGACTCCAACTTCAGTGGAGGAAACAGGTAGTTAAACCAGTCGTTTATGCACATGCTGTTATGAAAATGTTCTGAGGACTATAAGAGCACAGAAGAAGAAGAAGATCACTTGAATTCTCTTAATTATGGGGGTGAGTGTTAGAAATTCAGCAATTTCAGGGGCCGTCTAGAATGCCAACATCCCATATGAATGCTGGTTCAAGTCCTGGCTGTTCCACCTCTAATCCAGCTTCCTGCTGTTGTACCTGGGAAAGCAGCAAAAGATGGCCCAAGTGCTTAAGCCCCTTCCACCCACGTAGGAGACCTAGATGGAGTTCCTGGTCTCAATCTGGCCTGGCTCTGGTGTCGCTCCCCCTCTTCGTGGAGGAACGACACAGGACCCTGCGCTGTTCTTTTGTCTGCTCGGCCCTCCCCGGGTTTGCTGCTGGTTCTTCCCGGGTTGGCTACCGACCCTTCCACCTCCGTGGAAGGGCGGTTCCCCCTAGCCACTTTCCCCACTTCCGCAGGGGAGCGGCACACCACCGGCCAGCTCTCTCGGGGGCTGCACAGGTGTTCCTTCAGATAGATGTTCCTGGTGCATGTTGTCTCTCTCCTCCTTTATAGTCCTCTTCCACCAATCCCAACTCTGCTACCCACACGCCGAGTATGCTGCTCTCCTCCAATCAGGAGCAGGTCCTGCTGTTTATTGGTTGAACTGGAGGCAGCTGTGTAGAAGCTGGTTCCTCCTCTCCCAGCGCCATATTGTGGGAGAGCAGATGCATAGAATAAGTCTTAATTCCAGTAACTTAGTCTAGTCTGAGTTGCTCCCCACACTCTGGCTGTTGCATTCATTTGGGTAATGAACCTGTGGATCTCTGTCTCTCTATAACTCTGACTTTTAAATAAATAAATAAATAAATCTCATTTAAAAAAAGAAGAAATTCATCAATTTCAAAGTGTAGTAAATGCATCCTCCAGTGTTTTTAATGTTTGTCACTCCTTTACTCTGCCGCTAGACTCCACTGTAGTAAACGACAAACAACCCCCCAAGACCTGCAGGTGATGCAGAGACTTATCTAACAGAACTTGTCCCTGTCCCCTGATCAGCGACAACTAACTGAGCACCAAAGGGGAAACGTGTTGAAGTGAAATTGACACTATGAGAAACAGTGACCTGATCAGCTCTTGTCCTGACTGTTGATGTACAATGTAATACTTTAACCATTTTAGTATTTTTTTTTTGTTCTAGTACTATTGGTTGAACTCTGTAATTAACACACAATTATTCTAGGTGTTTAAATTTTAACTGAAAAGTGATCCCTGTTAGGAATCTGGAAAGCATTATGCTGAGTGAAATAAGCCAGTCCCAAAGGGACAAATATCATATGTTCTCCTTGATCAGTGACAACTAACTGAGCACCAAAAAGGAAACCTGTTAAAGTGAAATGAACACTATGAGAAATGATGACTTGATCAGCCCTTGCCCTGACTGTTGAACAACTTAATACATTATCCCTCTTAGTAATTTTTTTGTTTATTTGTTCTACTTAATACTTTTGGTTGAATACTGTAATCAATACACAGTTATTCTCAAGTGTTGAAACTTAACTGAAAAGTGATCGCTGTTAAATATAAGAGTGGGAGTAAGAGAGGGAAGAGATGTACAATTTGGGACATGCTCAAGCTGACTTACCTCAAACGGTAGAGTTAGAAACATACCAGGGGATTCCAATTCAATCCCATCAAGGTGGCATGTACCAATGCCATCTCACTAGTCCCGGTGATCAGTTTCTGTTCACAATTGATCATAATGATAGGACTAAGAGCCAAAGGGAGCACATAAACAAGACTGTGTCTGCAAATACTAGCTGATAGAATCAAAAAGGGAGAGAATGATCCAACATGGGAAGCGAGATACACAGCAGACCCATAGAATGGCAGATGTCCCAAACAGCACTCTGGCCTCAGAATCAGCCCTTAAGGCATTTGGATCTGGCTGAAAAGCCCATGAGAGTATTACAGGCATGGAAAGCCAAAACACTCTGGCAAAAAAAAAAAAAAAAAAAAACCTACATGAAAGATCTCTGTGAGTGAGATCCCAGTGAGAACTTCCACTTTGACTATGACCTTGTCTAAATAAGATCAGAGTTGGTGAACTCAAAAGGCTTCCATAGCCTTGGCAACTCATGACAGAGCTAGGGTGATTACTGAGGCATAAAACAAGAGTGTCAATTTGTAGTCACACAGGAGTCACTGTGCACTTACTCCTCATGTAGATCTCTGTCGTATGTGCTGTACATGTGATTGATTGCCTATACTAGTACTCAAACAGTATTGTTCACTTTGTGTTTCTATGGGGGTGCAAACTGTTGAAATCTTTACTTAATATATGCTAAACTGATCTTCTGTATATAAAGAGAATTGAAAATGAATCTTGATGTGAATGGAAGGGGAGAGGGAGCAGGAAAGGGGAGGGTTGCGGGTGGGAGGGAAGTTGTGGAGGGGGGAGCCATTGTAATCCATAAGCTGTACTTTGGAAATTTATATTCATTAAATAAAAGTTAAAAACAAAAAAAAAAAGAACTTGTCCCTGTGACCCCTCTGGGAACACAGGTGAGCAGTGCCTGTGAGTCTCCTAATAGCAGCCAGAGTTGTCACTCCACCAACAGCCAGGAGCAATTTTTCAGCACATGGCATGAACACAACACCATGCTAAATGCTGAGGGGGATACCAAACTGTTTGTGGTGTTGACCTTGCTCACTGGAAACTCTGAATGCAGTGGGGGAGAGAAGACAAGTGATATTTAATGACTTTTTTGTACTAAATCAAAAGGCACTAAATCAAATCTGAGTGATACTTCTGTATTTTCCACTGCCAATGGAAAGGACACTTCAGTGCCTAGAGAAATGTCTCAGAGGGAAACTGTGTGTGGAGTCACACATTACCCAGGTGCTGAGATGTAGTTTGGAAGTGGAAGTAGAACTACATGTGTTAAGTTCTTTAATGCATTGCCCTGCACATACTAGGCACACAGTTTGCTTTTAACATTCCATTATAGAAAGAGAAAATTGCTGTTAATACAGACATTTCAAGAAAAAATCATTCCCTTATTTTAGTTTTTAATTGTTGTTTGTCTTTCTTTCTAGGTCAAGAAGTAGTTTTCAAGTGCCTTGGGGAAGGGATTCTTGAGAAAGCCTTTCAGGGGTACAATGCTTGTATTTTCGCATATGGGCAGACAGGTAAGAATTTATTCTCATCTACAGTAAATGACTTTAAGTGTGCATTCCTTGAAACTCAAAAATTGGGCATTATGGGTCAGCAAGTTAAGCCGTTCAAGTGCTTGGGCCCTTTGCCACTCACAGAGGAGACTCAGATGCAGTTCCAGGGTTTGGCCCAACCTTGGCTGGTGTGGGCGTTTAGGAAGCAAAGCAGCTGATGGAAGATCACTCTCTCTTCCCATTTTCCCAAAATAAATAAATAGACATTTACCAAAAAAAGAGAAAGAAAAAGAATTTTTGTGAAGCGACAGAAACTTGCTTCCGACTTTCTGGATATAAATGAGTTAGATGGTCAGAGGTAAGCCTCTTTTTGAAGGTGTAACCATTTTTGGTAATTGAGTAATTTCAGTGTTAATGAGCAAAGCTAGTTTCAAACTATTAAGTGTCATTTTCCCAAATTATAGTTTTAACCTGTATTTGAACTAGAAAAATAATTGCCAGTTCCTCAGCATAAATGTGATAGTAAAAACTACAGAAAAACCCTAGCATCATCCTCTGCTGAGGACTTTCACCAGAATAAAGGTGGTGATAAATTATGAAACCTAGGCTGGTTCACCAGGTAGTTGAAACAAGTACAACAAAAACAGACCAGTGGCCCAGCCAGGAACACGCTAAACTGCTGTTTTGTTTTGATTTTTTTCAACTATAAGTTGAAAATTAATAATAAATTTTAACAGTACTGCCTAATATCAAATTATAGGTTATCTAAGAAACTTGGGTGATAAAATACACATAACATAATGTACAATTATAGAAATACAGCAGCAGTGCCTGGCATCCTGGTGCAGTGCTTTAAGCTGTTACCTGTACTGCCAGCATCCCATTTGGGTGCCAGTTTGAGTCCCAGCTGCTCCACTTCCAATCCAGCTCCCTGCTAATGTGCCTGGGAAAGCAGCAGAAAATGACTCAAGTGCTTGGGTCCCTGCAACCCATGTGGGAGACCCAAATGGAGTTCCGGACTCCTGCCTTAGGCCTGGCACAGCCCTGGCAGTTGCAGCCATTTGGGAAGTGAACCAGCAGATGGAAGATCTCTTTCTCTCTCCCTCCCCCACGCCCTCCCTCCTTTCCTTTGTCTCTCTCTCTCTCTATAACTCTCTTTCAAATAAATAAAATAAATCTTTTTTTTTTTTTTGACAGGCAGAGTGGACAGTGAGAGAGAGAGACAGAGAGAAAGGTCTTCCTTTGCCGTTGGTTCACCCTCCAATGGCCGCCGCGGCCGGCGCGCTGCAGCCGGCGCACCGCGCTGATCCGATGGCAGGAGCCAGGAGCCAGGTGCTTTTCCTGGTCTCCCATGGGGTGCAGGGCCCAAGCACCTTGGCCATCCTCCACTGCACTCCCTGGCCACAGCAGAGAGCTGGCCTGGAAGAGGGGCAACCGGGACAGAATCCGGTGCCCCGACCGGGACTAGAACCCGGTGTGCCGGTGCCGCTAGGCGGAGGATTAGCCTAGTGAGCCGCGGCGCCGGCCAATAAAATAAATCTTAATAAAAATGGAATGTAGCAACAAAGTTGTTAATGTTACTTAATAATGTATAGTTGGAATTTTGCAATATTTTTAAAATGATGTATTTTAATGGTTACATTTATACACATTCACCTGTAAACAAGGCCCCTCTGAACCTTGCAGTGCGAGTCAGACCAGAGACTGAGTATAGTTAAAGAAAGAAAGGTGTGATATCCAGGGGGTGGGCTTGAGGGCCAACTTTGCCACTTTTGTGCTGAGTGATGTTGGCTCCTACATAAAGAAAACTTGCATGATTGAAGTGTTAAATTTGCTTTCTCTTCTACCCTTCCTTCTTTATGCTTATTCTTTTCCAGGTTCAGGAAAGTCCTTCTCCATGATGGGCCATGCTGAGCAGTTGGGCCTTATTCCAAGGCTCTGTTGTGCTTTATTTAAAAGAATCTCTTTGGAGCAAAATGAGTCCCACACCTTTAAAGTGGAAGTATCATATATGGAAATTTATAATGAGAAAGTTCGTGATCTTTTAGACCCCAAAGGGTGAGTCAGTTGTTGAAATTCAGCTTGTAACTAGAGGTAATTTCTTTAAATAATCCTGAGGTTAAAATTGCAAGTGAATATATATATTTGAGCCCTGTTCACTGCTCTGAGAAACTGAGAAATCATGAGCTACCCAAAGCCTCACAACATATCCATGGTTCCTACAGTCTGGCCTATATTCATGTTGAAAGTTGTTTATGTCTGTGCATGCCATCTGAAAAGATGGTTTACTATAGGTAAATTTTGTTTGCACTATGGACTATTCATAAAAATTGAGTTACAAGGGACACATTGGTTCTTCCATTAGTATTTAAAATAAATTCTAGGTTGAAGGTAAAGTGTTGGATGATTGAAACAACCTGGCCTAGGCAAGTCATTCCCTTCCCTGGCTGCTTTTGAAGGATCCACTGGCCTGAGTTTCATCACCTGTACATGCTTTGATTCAGCAGCACATGAAATGGTGAAACCTAGACATCTGTGTTTTTATGACACTAGATAACTTTGATTCATAGAAGGGGGGGGCATTTTATTTTTTGTCAACTAAATTTGAACTGGTTTAAAACACATATTTGTAGAAATATGTACAAAAATGTAAAAAGAAATAAAAATGACCTATAAGCCCACCACTCAAAAATAACCACCGTTAATACCTTGGTGCATTTTGATTTTGTGTGTCTGACCTGTGTCTGTGCATACTCCTCTCACATTTTGAGATTTTTCATAAATGCAGATTTTGAATTCATCTTGATTTTTCCTAATAGCATAATGAATGCTTTCTCGTGTCATTAAAATTTATTTTTAAATTCTTTTAACAACTCTGTGATATGTAACATTTCAGAACACTTAGAAGGCCACAGAAATCTTAGATGAAATCAAAAGTATAGGATCAAAATTAGGGAGTCAAGGAAATGACTAAGTCGGGGCCAGCACCATGGCTCACATGGTTAATCCTCTTCCTGTGGCACCAGCATCCAATATGGGCCCCAAGAAAGGAAGACTTTTCTCTCTGTCTCTCTCTAACTCTGTCAAATTAAAAAAAAAAAAGGAAATGACTCAGTCATAAGAAATATATTTACTTGGAAGAGTTATTATTTAATGCCTATGAAGGAATGATTTGCCTTTTTCCCCCTCAATGTGTCATTCATTCATATATATGCAGTAACAATGCATTTATTTTCTAATACTGTTCAATATTCCATTGTAACATAACTTAGTCCAGGTGTTGGTGTGGTTTCCACTTTTTCTCATTACAATTCTCCTCTGACCATTCTTATATAGGACTCCTGGTGTACAGATGCAGAGTTTCTAGGGACTGCATCGAAGGGTGGAACTGAGTCAAGGGAGACCGATTCTCCATATTTATTAAAGAGTAAAAACTTTTCCAAAGTGGATGTACCAATTTACACTGTCCCCATCAGTGTGCAAGAATTCCAGATATTAGACCCCATCCCAATCATGTGAAGTGATAGATTTACTGTGTCCTGCTACTGAACAGAGTCACAGAATCCCTGGCTTTGGGAGCATAGTGAGCTTGAGTGCTGGCTTGTGTGTATCCGGGTAGCTTTCTTGAATACATGCATTATGGTTTGCCCCTGTTTACAGAACAGCAGAATTGCTTGTTGTCACATTGAATTCTTCATCCTTAAAGTTAGTAAAACCTACTTTGTAGAAACATTGTGGGATTAAATGGGATAACCGAAGTGCTTAGGGAGCAACACCAAGACTTTGGAAGCACTCAGTGATACTTACTTCCTTTTTTCCACACTTGAGTGATGCCAAGAATTGACTCTTCACTTGAAAAGTGATTAATATTCAATGCCATGAAAACGATGACACACACAATACGGTAAAAACATATGCAGCTTTGCTTTTAACCTCAATTGTCGGTTGACAAGCTCTTCAAGTGAGTCCCAAACCAGATTTTCCATTTAAAAAATTCAAAAGAGCCCTAAAATCTCGAGTAGAACCAGTTCTAAATATAGAATAAATATCAGTGACTACAGCTTCTGTGCTGTGCTCTCACTTTCTGTATAAAATTGTTAGCATAGAAGCAGCACAAATCAATGTAGCTTGGAAAAGTAAATTAAACATAGTTCAATATCATTCACTATTCAAAATTTAAAACATTGTTTACTGGAAAAGTGCTTTTTTTTTAAATTTGACATACAGAGTTAGACAGTGAGAGAGAGACAGAGAGAAAGGTCTTCCTTCCGTTGGTTCACCCCCCAAATGGCCGCTACGGCCGGAGCTACGCCGATCCAAAGCCAGGAGCCAGGTGCTTCTCCTGGTCTCCCATGCGGGTGCAGGGCCCAAGCACCTGGGCCATCCTCCACTGCACTCCCGGGCCACAGCAGAGAGCTGAACCAAAAGAGGAGCAACTGGGACTAGAACCGGCGCCCATATGGGATGCCTGCACCGCAGGCAGAGGATTAACCTAGTGAGCCATGGTGCCAGCCCTGGAGTACTTTCTTATAAAATAACCTCAAGGTTAAATTTTATCTTTGTTCTTTGCTTCACTATTTTTTTCCCCTATGTGAAACTGAATTTCATCTACTAAAACAAGTTAGCCTAACCTAGTTCTGTGTACTGGTTGTTTAGTTTAGGTCTAGAGATAGAACTTTTTAAATAGTACACTACTTTAAATAGAAATCAGAGTATAAAAGACATTCCTCTTATGGAATGCTGTTTTGCTAATCCAAATAAAGGTTTTTTTTAGAATATTTTTTGACCAGTAAAAAAATTTTTTTTATAATTCTAGTCTTAATTTCTGGGTACTTAAGAAGAAAGAAAAGCTTCCAAATTTGGTCTGATTCATTTATTCCTTTTCTTCCCTCCCACAGAAGTAGACAATCTCTTAAAGTTCGAGAGCATAAAGTTTTGGGACCATATGTAGATGGTTTATCTCAACTGGCCGTCACTAGTTTTGAGGTAAGTATCAGTTTTTAAAAATGTCATTAAAAAATCAATATATCCAAGCATGTAGGTAATATTGGGTATATTTTGTGTGGATGCTTTATAGCATATCAGTTCATATCATATCATGTTCTTGGAGACCCCGCATCTGCACACACCTCCCCACCCCCATTCGTGCTCTGCATGCCACATTGTTGTACAGGTTTTACGGTGTGGCCAAGAGGCATACTATTTTGTGGCTCCTGGATGTTGTCACTAAGATTGTTCTGTTGAAACAGATCTCCCTAAGTTGCCAATGACACCCTTCTAGACACATCCGATAATCCAAACGGTGTCTGCTTGTTAATTCAACCCCTCCTCGTGGATAAGTCTGTCACCTTTCACTCTTTGGGGTCTCTTGTTTCTTGACATCACTGCTCTACCTCCTAATCTGTTTTCCTACTCCTTGAAATCGATGCCCTATTCAGATGGGCCTTGATGTTCTGTCCTTATTTCTATGGTCATTGCATTGAAAATCTCACAACACAAACTGCTATCTCTGTTGCTGAAGTGGGAATGAATAAATGGCTAGATCCCTGCTTGTACTTGTGTTATCTCAGCAGTGTGGCTGCCCTACTATAACATCTGATGTAGTATAACTAAAATTAACCTGTGAGGTAGCTCTCTCCAGCCAGTTAAATGAAGATGTATGTGGTATTGTTCACATGAGAAATAGGGCACAGTCACCACTTTCAAAACATTGAGACTCTGAAGTGAATGAGAACGCTTCCAATCTAAAGGTGCTGAGTCCACACCTTCACAAAGTTCCTGATTCTTAGCATGACTGCGTTAGGATCCATGCGTGACAGCATTTATTAGTAGGAGCCTGGGAGCTCTTGATTTGCATCCCAGCTCTATGTCCTACTAGATCTGGGGAAGGCTGTTTGGCCTCCATGAACTTCAGCATCCTTGTGTACAAAATCAGGAAAACTCTTCTTTCATGAGGATTATTCAGCAAACATTTTCTAAGAACCCATGGATATCGAGTCATTGTAGCAGCAGGTACACAAAGATAAAGAAGGAAAATCCTCTGCCCTTGGAGCACTATAATTTTGAAAGAGAGAGGAGCATAAGCAGGTGACAGACAGCTCCCCAGGCTGATAAGCACAGGAGAGGTAGAATTAAAGCTGGTTCTGGAGGCTGGGACATTAAGGAGCTTGGTGCTGGCATTTCCATGGCACCTGATGAGGGTGTTTTTGCTGCAATCATGACATACTGGAGGCATCTCTTAGTGGGAGAGGGCAAGTGCACCAGTTCTTCTTCTTCTTCTTTTTTTTTAATTTATTTGACAGGTAGAGTTAGTGAGAGAGAGACAGGGAGAAAGGTCTTCCTTCTGTTGGTTCACCTCCCAAATGGCCGCTATGGCCGGAGCTACACCGATCTGAAGCCAGGAGCCAGGTGCTTCTTCCTGGTCTCCCATGGGGTGCAGGGCCCAAGCACTTGGGCGATCTTCCACTGCCTTCCTGGGCCACAGCAGAGAGCTGGACTGGAAGAGGAGCAACCGGGACTAGAACCCGCTGCCCATATGGGATGCCAGCACCGCAGGAGGAGGATTAACCAAGTGAGCAACAGCGCCAGCTCATCAGTTCTTCTTTTAAAGCCCTTAGTGCCTTCCTGGGGAATCTACCCTCGTGATTGATCTAATCATAATTGCCTCCCAAGACTCCATCTCCAAATACCATTAACATGAATTTGTTTCCAACACATAAAATTTAGGGGACATCTACTGACCATAGCATAGTTACTGAGTATATATGGAGTCTCAATGGATGTTTTAGCCTTCCTGGAAACTTGCCAAGGAGGAAAAAAAAAAAAAAAAAAAAACAGGAACTTAACAGAGAAAGAAAACAATTGGAGAATGGAAAGAAGGATAGGGGAAACATTTAATCCACTAGAACTGAGAGAGGTGGAACCTGAAACCGCTCTCAGTGGAGGAGAGCTGTGGGGAGCAACCCGGACTAGACTAAGTTACTGGAATTAAGACTTATTCTATGCATCTGCTCTCCCACAATATGGCGCTGAGAAGGGAGAAACAGCTTCTACACAGCTGCCTCCAGTTCAACCAATAAACTCTAGGACCTACTCCTGATTGGAGGAGAGCAGCGTACTCGGCGTGTGGGTAGCAGAGTTGGGATTGGTGGAAGAGGACTATAAAGGAGGAGAGAGACAACATGCACCAGGAACATCTAAGGGGAACATCTGAAGGAACACCTGTGCAGCCCCCGAGAGAGCCGGCCGGCGGTGTGCCGCTCCCCCGCGGAAGTGGGGAGAGTGGCTAGGGGGAACCGCCCTTCCACGGAGGTGGAAGGGTCGGTAGCCAACCCGGGAAGAACCAGCAGCAAACCCGGGGAGGGCCGAGCAGACAAAAGAACAGCGCAGGGTCCTGTGTCGTTCCTCCACGAAGACGGGGAGCGACATCATGGTGCCGTGACTCGGATATGAAGCCTAGGCAGGGTCTAGTGTCGTTCCTCCACGAAGAGGGGGAGCGACATAATGGTGCCGTGACTCGGATAGAAAACCTAGGAGGGAAGAAACGGGAAGAAGTGGGAAAATACCAGAGAGAGAGACTAGCAAAGAGCCTAGGGAAAAGCCGGACGGAAAAGGTGCCGGAAGAAGCTATTGAAAGCCTAGGCATAGACTCGGATATGGACTGTGGGAAAGAAGTTAGGATTGAAAGCGAAAGTGAAAGCTTTCATAGACTCTGATGCGGACTATGGCGGGGAAGCTAGGAGATTGAAAGCGAAAGTGAAACCTGGAGGAGGCTTGGACTCGGATGCGGACTGTGGGGAGAAACCGGGAGAAATGAGAGGGGAATATTGTTGTTGGAAGAAAAGTTAGGGAAACATACCGGGTAGAGAAAAATGTTAGGGAAATTGAAGCCACGGGGGCAGGCCGAGGTGGAGACGTAAGCCAGCTTGGAATTCTTCAAGTCAGCCCGGGGAGCAAAAGGCAAAAATCTGGAACCAGAGGCAGAGACGTGGGCCGCCAGGTTGGAATTCGCCAGGTTAGTCCGGGGAACTTGGACTGAATGCCGGTGGCGGAAACGTGAGCTACGCTGTGTGATTCGCGGAAGCTGCCGCGTGCAGAGAGAGCACGGGGCGTGAATAGATAGGGAACGCGGGGCTAGTGCGAGGCCGTGGTGCGGGCGCAAAGGGGCGCGAAGACCGCGGAGCGCGCGCACGAAGCCGGGAAGCCGCGCAGATGAGAGAAGCGCGGGCTGAAGCGGCTCAGAGCCGGGAAGCCGCCGAGAAGCAGCCTCGGGGCAGGCGCTGGGATGCCGCAGGGATAAGAGAAACAGAAATTTAGAAGTAAAATGAGAGAAATAGGAATGCTGGCAGATAGAAGTAAAATGGAAGAGATAGGAATGCCCGGAGATAGAGAAATAGAAAAAAATAAGGCCTCCCCTCAACATGGCAATGAGAGAGCTTGGATTCGGTCTGCCTGATTAGGGAGGTGGTGAGCACCTGCGGGCGGCTAGCAGCTTATGCGCCGCAGGTCACCGAAGACAGGCACGAATTAACATCAATAAGTCTCCCCACAATACTGCAATGAGAAGGCTTGGATTCGGTCTGCCTGATTAGTAAGGCGATAAGCACCAGCAGGCAGCTCGACCAGAGTATGAGCTGCAGGTCACCGAAGACAGGCACGAATCAACACCAATAAGTCTCCCCACAATACCGCAATGAGAAGGCTTGGATTCGGTTTGCTTGATTGCTAGGGCTTGTAAGCACCTGCAGGCAGTTCTAGCAGAGCAGAGAATGCGCTGCAGGGCACTGAACACAGGCACGCATCAGCGCCTAAAAACCTCCTCACAACATGGCAAAGAGAGGACCCGGATTCGGTTTGCCTGATTGGTAGGGCTTGTAAGCACCTGTGGGCAACTCCAGCAAGCAGAGCAGAGTGTGTGCCGCGGGGCACCAAAGACAGGCGTGTATCAACGCCAAAAATAAAAAGAAAGGGGGATCTGTGGGGAGCAACCCGGACTAGACTAAGTTACTGGAATTAAGACTTATTCTATGCATCTGCTCTCCCACAATATGGCGCTGAGAAGGGAGAAACAGCTTCTACACAGCTGCCTCCAGTTCAACCAATAAACTCTAGGACCTACTCCTGATTGGAGGAGAGCAGCGTACTCGGCGTGTGGGTAGCAGAGTTGGGATTGGTGGAAGAGGACTATAAAGGAGGAGAGAGACAACATGCACCAGGAACATCTAAGGGGAACATCTGAAGGAACACCTGTGCAGCCCCCGAGAGAGCCGGCCGGCGGTGTGCCGCTCCCCCGCGGAAGTGGGGAGAGTGGCTAGGGGGAACCGCCCTTCCACGGAGGTGGAAGGGTCGGTAGCCAACCCGGGGAGGGCCGAGCAGACAAAAGAACAGCGCAGGGTCCTGTGTCGTTCCTCCACGAAGACGGGGAGCGACAGAGAGCAGAGAGGTTTTGTGGAAGGCTGTAGGAGAGGCATCAGGGGGACCACAATGAATGCATACATCTGGTGCACAGGACTGTGTTCTTGCTTTACTCATAGGGTGTTCCTTATGCTTTGCCTCTAGGATATTGAGTCATTGATGTCTGAGGGAAATAAGTCTCGGACAGTAGCTGCAACCAACATGAATGAAGAGAGCAGCCGCTCCCATGCTGTGTTCAACATCATAATCACGCAGACGCTGTACGACCTGCAGTCTGGGGTGAGGGATTGGACGGAGCCTTTGGGGAGGGTGGAAGAACTCGAGGTGTCCACATGGTGAAGTGTTTCGTGGGTGGATTTGGTGGTTTGGCATTTCACATTGGTTCTTCTTGCTAGAGGAGATGCTTTTTTTAAATCATTTAATTGGAAGGGGGGGCTCCCTTTACATGTAATTTTTTAAATTGGATTTCTTGTGTAAACTTCCTAAAGATGTGATGATATCACCATAAAGTTTTTAATACATATTGTTTCATACTGAAATTGCCCTCAAATAAATATTTCTACTGCATCATCACTGAGGGGTATGAAAGAGGAAACCACAGCAATTGGCCTGAAGAACACTTTTCAGAAGAAAGGTTTACTGCAGACGTGCAGGGAGCCTCACATCCTGATACTCCCTCACAGCCCCATAAAATGCCCAGCTTTCTGACTCTTTTCTGGAAAGCTGTGTGTTCTTTCTAGGCAACTGCAAAACAAAATGCTTCCTCTGCACACCAATGGAAATGTTGACAGTGAAATCCATTGCTAGTTCAGGTAGCTCTTCTGACTGCTGAAAATCAGGAGAAGTTTACTGCATTAGAGTGAGATGGATAACTGGGGTTGCTGTGAATTAAAGTGCTAACATAGAGGCAGATGGTCATATGGCTTCTGCATTAATGTGTGTTGTTTCTCTCTTGTTTCCCACAACTAGAACTCAGGAGAGAAAGTCAGTAAGGTCAGCTTGGTAGACCTGGCGGGTAGTGAAAGAGTGTCCAAAACAGGAGCCGCGGGAGAGCGACTGAAGGAAGGCAGCAACATTAACAAGTAAGGCGGCTGGCGCGAGACGACCCACGAGGTGCAACCCTGCTAAAATGGCTCACATGTGTAGCTGTGTATTCATGTAATGCTGTGTAAGGTAAAATACAAATCACAACTTTGTAAATGAACTCCCATCTTCAGCCAACTCAGAGAGCTCATTCTGGAAAGAATATCTGCTTTGTATCCCTCTACAAGGTTATACTGTTTGCCTTGAATGCCTGCTGTGGGCCCAGTGATGCAGTAAAGGCTGAAAGACAGCAGAATGGCAAGAGACACGCGGGAGTTTGCTGGGTAAACCAAGGAGATCCGTGCAGAGGCCCCAGTAAAAGACTTGGCAGGAGGTACCCCAGGGTGACTCCTGACATGTAGGACCAAGTCCTTGCCTTCCAACACGGGGTGGGAGGGGCCAGAATTTATATTGAAGGGTAGACTCTCGAGCCAGACTGCCTGGGTTTAATCCTGCCTTTGCCTCTTACTATAGTGTGTATCAAGGGGAAGCGATTTTGCCACTCTGCGCCCCATTTTGCCCATCTGTGAAATGGAGATAATGATAATACTTTATAGGATTGTTGGCGATTAAATGCCCAGAGTGCCTGGTATATAGTGTGCACTGAATAAATATTGTTGTAGCTGTTATTTTTATAATCAGCACAATCTATCATTATTCCAAGTTCAGCAGAAAGTAGTTTTGACTAGTTATTATCTATTCCTGTTGAGCCATCATTTACACAGAACCTAACAAGAGGGAATATATTTAAGAACATGTTGATACTGCTTGCATTTTAAAATGTTAGCATATCTTGATTTTAGTTCACAAAAGTTAGAAAATTTGAAGTAAAATATTGCACCCCCCACCACCCCATCAGACAACCACAGCCATATTCACTGGGAAAGACAGCTACTTTAGGGAGTTAATCATCCAGTCTTCCTGTCTCCTGCTCTGATAACAAAGGATTTTACTCTATTTCATGATGAGACTTTGTAGGATCCCACGCTGGCACCGTTGCTGTGGGTTCCAAAATTAGTTCAGGCAAAAGGACAAGAAATGCAGAATTGGGTGAGGGAGTAGATACCAAAGACAAGATTGTCACCCCTCCTGGAGGCTCGCCAACCTGTGCTGAGCTGTGTGACCCTTCACCTGCCCGCTGAGCTTGTCAGATAATACTGGGAAGTTCGTGCAGGGGCTTGTGAGAACTTCTAGCATACGTGTGTGACTGGCCTCAATGTAGAGCAGCATGGACTTCCAGTGAGCTCTTGCCAGTGCCAGGGCCTGTTCTGCACGCTCTCTACGCCATGATTCATCTGATCTTCACATCCGCATCAGGAGTTGGGGCCTCTAATTCCCATTTTACAGATGAGAATACTAAGGCAGAGAGCTGTTAGGTAACGTGTCTCAGGTCACCACACTCTAAGTACAGATCTGGGATTTGATTGCACGCAGGATCCAGAACCCAGGATCAACCACTAAACTGTCCTTGAGGTCGCCACTTTCCATGTGCCTAAAAGAGTCTGTTGAATACTTTTGTCCCGGAGTAGATACTAATGGTGCCACCCTTAAACTTAGATACCCTATTATGTCATGGCCCCACGTGGACTAACTACCCCAAGGCCATGTGATAACATGGTTCAGATCCTCTAGCAAGTGATTCTTTTCTGTTAACTGCTCACTGAGCAGAGTGGAATCCTCTTGGCATCCTACTGTCTCTCTTAATTTATGTACTAGGTCTTTTACAAATGAGTGGAGTGTATTCCATACTGCTAGTTTGTGGGATAGGACCAGGGTTCTTGATAACCTTCAGAACACTTTATTTGCTCAGTGAGGCTCAAAATAGGTATTTTTATCTCTGGGAGCATAACAGGTATTTTCAAGACAAGGAAACTGATGTTTAGAGTCACTAAATAGCATAAATAAAATCCCAGGCCTCTAGCATGAGTCTGGCATTGCTATAGATGCTGAGAATGAAAAAGGAGTTTAGACTTTGAGGTAGGTAGAATAACACCTCCCACACCCAAATTTGCCCACATTCTAATTCCAAAAACCTGTGTGTAGGCTACCTTACAAAGCAACAGATTTCACAGGTGTAATTAAGTACAGGATTCTGAGATGGTGAGATTATCCAGGTAAGCCCACAGTAATCACTAGAGCCCTTTCAAGTGGAAAGCGAAGATAGGAGAAGTAGAGGCAGAGTGAAAGAGGGTGAGGAAACTTTGACCAGCCATTGCCTGCCTGAGGATAGAGGAAGAGGCATGAGCCAGGGAATGGGGGCATCTGTGGAGGCTGAAAATGACAAGGACACAGGACACAGGTTCACCCCCAGAGGGAACATGGCCCGGCCACCACTGATTTTAGCCCAGGAGGATGCATCCTGAACTGACCTCCACAACTGTGAGATAATACATCTGTGCTGATTTGCACATTTGGCACAGGGGTCAGGACTCTGCAGGATGAGAGACCACATCCCATGTCAGAGTTCTTGGTTTCCTGTCCTGACTACTCCTGAGTCCAGCTTCCTGCTAATGAGCACTTGGGGAGGCAGCAGGTGATGGCTCAGTCCTTGAGTCCCTGCACCCATGTGAGAGACCTGGATTGACTTCTAGGCTCTTGGCTTCAGCCTGGCCCCTGGCTCAGCCCCAGGTGTTACCATTGCAGCCATTTGGGGAATGAGCCAGTAGATGGAAGATATTCTCTCTCTTTCTCTCTCTCTTTCTCTCTCTCTCTCTCTCTTTCTCTCTCTGGGCCTTTCAAATAAATCAGTCCATCTTAAAAGAAAAACAGATTTTGGATAGGTAGTATGGACCTGCACTCTTTGGATCTGTTTTAGCAGATGTGTATCAAACACTGACTAGGTGTGAGAACATAGGAATGTGTGAGATGGGACTCTGGCCTCAGAAAGTGTGGAAGGCAGACCTTTGGGATGATTGTGTGAATACATTAGGGGCCACAGGAACTAAAAAAGTAGCTCCCCCCCATCCTTGGTTTCACTTTGCATGGTCAGTCATGAACCAAAAAATGTTAAATGGAAAATTCTAGAAATAAATATAAGTTTTAGATTGCATACTCTTCCAGGTAGTGTGGTGAAATCTCACGCCGTTTAGCCTAGGACATGAATCATCTCTTTGTCTAGTGTACCCATCCCATACGCACTCCTCATGTGTTGGTCACTTAATACACATCTTGGGCGGGCGCCGCAGCTCAATAGGCTAATCTCCCGCCTAGCGGTGCTGGCACACAGGGTTCTAGTCCCGGTCAGGGGGCCGGATTCTGTCCCAGTTGCCCCTCTTCCAGACCAGCTCTCTGCTGTGGCCCGGGAGTGCAGTGGAGGATGGCCCAAGTCCTTGGGCCCTGCACCCGCATGGGAGACCAGGAGAAGCACCTGGCTCCTGCCTTCGGATCAGCGCGGTGCACTAACCGCAGCGCACCAGCCACGGCGGCCATTGGAGGGTGAACAAACAGCAAAGGAAGACTTTTCTCTCTGTCTCTCTCTCACACTGTCCACTCTGTCAAGAAAAAAAAAAAAAAAAACTTAATACACGTCTCAGTTGACAGATGGACTGGTACTATCACAGTGCTTGTTGTCTTCAAGTAACCCTTACACTGTCCTTACACTGTAGCCTAACACTGTGTCACCCTCCCTACACCGTCCACTTCACTGCATCTCCTCCCACAGGCATTGGGGCATCCCACATCATCACAAAGGTGAAGACAGTACAGCATGATACTGTGAGAGACCTCAATCACTTAACTCTTACTACAATATTTTGTTAGAATTGTTCTATGTCACCGTTATTATTGTTCATCTTACTGTGCCTCACTGATAAATTCTATCATGGGTACCTATGCAGAGGAGCGAGCATGGTATATCTTGGGCTTGGTGCAAGTCACAGTTTCAGGCATGCACTGAGAGATATCCCCCATGGAATAGGGGGCCCTGCTGGACACAGGCAAGAACTCTATAACACAGCCCGGAGGAGCAGGGAGGGTGGCCCAGAGCAGACACTGCGCTTCCTTGGCTGTATAAGCAAGCTGTGTGATCCTTCTGTGCCTCGGTTTCTTCATCTGTAAGGTGTGGATGCAGAAAGCACCTTGTGAGTAGGATTCTTACGAGGATTTAATTACTTGCTTTTGGTAAAGTGTTTCGAACAGCGCCTACCACATAGGAAGCTGTATATGCAAATGTTTACTGATAAAGTAAAAGAAAACAATAAATTGAAACTACTATTTATAGTTCCACAAACGATTCTCGAAGTCTTTCCCTCTCTCTCTCTGCCCTCAAATAAATAAATAAATCTTAAAAAAAAAAAAAAAAATCGGTTCCCGGTTGCACACTACAGCTAAGGAAATCCTGCCACGCTCCCTGAGCTCCCTCAGCCTCTAGTTGTGCTTCTTTGGATGCAGCATTAATAATCCTCTTAAGCAGACCTGTCAGGGACTTCACACAGACATCAGTGTCTACTTAATGGGCTAAGGATTTAGGAGCTTCATGTCTCCTGCAGCTCTTAAGAGCCTTAAAGCGCATGTTACCCCCTTCATTTGCAGCGTGAAGTTGCTGTGTGGCTGTGCTGCGGCATGTTCAGCGCTCAGGAGGAGAGGCCACCTGTGAGCCATCTGCACGGCGCCAGCTCCGCACCGGGCTGCTGCCGTCTGCCGGGTGGAGGAGGAGCGCGGAAGCCTTTCCCCTCTGCTCAGGCTGCTGCCTTCAGCTTCTCCAGGCACTCAGTTAGGTCACGGACCACTCTGTCCAAGGCCCTCAGGTGTTGGAAATGGTTGTGTTTTATTCTCAACCATGTCCAGTCACTAAATGCAAAAAATGTTCATCTAATGAATACCTTTCCCCATCTCATTTCCACTTCAGTTGCTATAGTTAATAACGAAGTGTATGCTAACATGTTCACAAATGGATTCTTCTGAACCATAGTTATAGGGATATTCATATATGTTTCTTCTAGGATTGTGTCATGTAATTTGTTATAGTATAACTTATAAACATGGTATTTCTTTTTTATTT